CAATGGAGAAAACTTTTCTCCAAATGTTCTTTATTAAAAAATATGACAGAACTACTTTTCAACTCAGCCTTGCTATTAATTCTCCCCAGGATGCTCTGGGTTCTGGGAGGTACTCAGAGCCTCATTGCCCAGTGCTCTGATGACAGCAATGGACTGCAGCAACCAAGCCAGGGCTCTCTCTCCTTCTCTTGCTCACCTCTTTCCCAGTCAGCATGTGAGAAGGACAAAAAAAAAAAATCTTCTCCTCCTCCTTGCAGGCTCCATCAATGAAGGTGGGTCTGGCTCTAGAGTCCAGGTCTCTATCCAGCAAAGCTTTTAAGCACACAGTTAATCCATCCCCATTTAGAAAAGTGCAGCTGTAGCTACATTTTGCCAAGCAAGACCCAGAAGCACATGCCAGCCAAGAGACTTTGGTAAGTGCTTTGGTGAACAGGGATGGGCAGCTGAACAGGATGAGCAGCTGAGAGGGACCACAAAAAGGAAACAGCAAAAAGGAGTAGAGAGGGCAGCTTCAGTGGTATTGGAGCAGCAGGAGCAAGGAGAGCTGAGTCAGACCATGACTCAGAAAAGCTCACTCCAATTTCAGTGCCTTTGTTGACTCTGGTTCACCTTTCCCAACTCACTTCACTGTGCCATTAGAGTTAACAGCAATATCTTTGACAATAGCCTTCTGAGATTTACATAAACAAAGGGCACATTGTGAAAGCCAAATGTTAATGATGACATCTTTGGTGAAATTACCTGGTTTCACAGGTAATTTCCATTATCTCTCTAGAACTTGCCAAAAGTTCTGACCATGGGGACACATCTCTGACCTCACGTCTTCCACTGCTTCACACTTCTGTTGTCAAGATCCCATTATGTCAGGCACCAGGAAAGAGATAAACATCATGGGCAGGTTTAAGAGCAGCCAAGGGAAAGTAACTCACAGTTTGTGGAAGGCTACAGATGCCACATTCATGTGATCCAGCATCAATGACCACAGGGAAAAAAGCAGCTTTCAGGCAAGCTAGTTTCAAGAATGGGAGTAACTGAGTGTCTAGGAAGGAGGGTGAGATTTCAGTTGCTGGGAATAAAAAATTAACACAGTAAATAAAAAGCCAGACCAACCGAGGAGCCCCTTTTAATGCTCCTTCACACTGCCTGGGACCAAACCCCAACTCAGCTGAAGAGCAGGGCAGAAATCCAGATGTTCATGCTCAGAGTACTCCCCAGTATGCCATGACTGCCTCTTACCTTTGGTATGTGGGCTGTTAATTTACTGGAATGGATGAAAATGTCTCTGATGATCTCAAATGGGAAGCCCTTCTTCAACTAATGCTTCACAGGAAATTTTCTTTTTGGAGAAGTATATACCAAAAAAGTGCTAAAGACTGCATTGTTCAAGACAAATCTAAGAGCTGCTGTCATCTAAAATAAGCAGCTAGTTCACTTTGATGTACAGCAGACACTTTTTGGATGTTACAAAAATAGCCCCTTGTATTAATCTGACAGGTCCAGCCCCCGGGAAGCACACAAAGCCTTAGCCCAAGCAAAGCTTTCTGATGCCTTGCTGAGTCACTACACCACCAGCTCCTGACAGAAAGCCTTCTTCTAAATGTGCCCTGTAGGCTTCAGTAATTGCTGTGATGTATAAAATACAGCATGTGAAGATGATACAGGTTACAGAGGCTGAAAAATTATGTTTAATTATAAGCTACAAAATCTCAGCATCATAAAGATTGTTTCTCTTATTGATCTGACAAGGCTTCTTATATCTTACTGCAAGATGTCTGTGGCTTTAACTCATCAAGCACTTTAATTTTCCCTCAAAAATAGGAGAATTTCATCTTAATAAACAAATTAAACAACTACTTTTTATACTAAATATGCTTAACCTAAAGCTTTCTCCCTATTATTTCATAAGCACCTTGAGATTATAGAGGCTCAACTAGCTTAGTAAAGATGAATTTCATATGATCCTGGGAATACAGCCGTTGCATTAGTTATTCTTCTTTTCCATTGTGTTAGGCTCTTTGTAAATAATCTGCATGATTAATGAATAGAGGAGACTTATTAAGAAGAGAGGACATGCTTTACTGTACTATTAAAACCTGTTTATTGCCATAGGCAAGATGTCATCAATATTTCTAACTGAAAATTTCTACTTGTGATATACATCATGCAGAATTTTACTGTAACCATTAAAAAAAAGTTAAAAGAATATTTTATCACTGGGTATGAACAGCCATATGCAGATTTAAAACTATGTAACCAAATGCATAATACATCAATATATATGATACTTTGTAAGAAAGGCATTACAATGAACTTGTTTATTTCACAGATCTTTTAAAGGACAGAAAAATCTCTTTAAACCACCTCCAGAGCAAGGCTACTCTATACATCTAAATAAGACCAGTCAAGTGCTAATATAAGTTGTTTCACTGCAAGTATGTACTTTCTTTATTGTCTTTAACAGATTTCCCTAAATTCACAGTGGTAACAAAATGGTTACCACTGCCCCAGACAGCTGATTTATATGCCAAATAGCATGGTGGAGTAAATGCCACTTAGGACCAGTTCTATCAACTTTGTTCGTACAAACAATCACGTTGATTTAAATAGAATCAATCAAGTCAGCAGGATCCAGTCAGGCAACATCTACATTAGCAATAGGAGCTGCACTGCAGGAGGAAACAGCTTGTGCTGGGGGCTCAAAGACCGTGCCAGCAGCGTGGTGGAGAGATGATGTTATTCCAGCCAAGCTCCTGCTTGGCCCCACAGGTGCCTATTAGCAGCTGGAACAAACACAGTAACTGGGAAATTCACTACAGAAACATTCTCCCGATCCCAGCTGAAACAAGGATGTGGGCACGTCCCCAGTTGGCCACAAGCCTGCCAGTATCTCACATGCATCCTCATGGTTTAGCAAAGAAAAGTTCCTCTTAGTCTTCTCCATGGCGTTCCAAGGAAGAGACTGCACATCCCATGTGCTGAGGTGGCAGCAGACTCTGTCCTGCAGGGCTGGTCAGGCAGGGACATCCTTGGGTGATGCTGGGGGAAGGGAGAGCATGAGGTGCATGGGAACCTTCATCAGTGCTTGAATGAAGAATTGGTATTCCTAGGATATTTCCCAAGTGTATCCAATTGGTGTAATGCTTCTGAATTTAATGGCTGCCACCTAATCTGCACAAAACAGCATCAGTTCCACTGAACCAGGATGTGCCAGAGGAGGCAGGGAGCCAAGCATGATTACATCGCTACAAATTCCTTATCATTTGCTCTCACAGTGCAGAAAGACCAAAATAAAATAGGGGAATAGGAAAATGATATCCCTATTACTAGCTTAATAAGATACTTTACCTCATTTTTCCCCAGCATTATAAATGAGACAGCTGCCTTGCTTTGTATCTCAGTACTCATCCAGTGTACCCTTCAGCACCCCTATTTGTTCTATTTTTCATTGCTGAAATAATGATAGAGATAAGCCAATGGAGGCACTCCAGTACCAGTACACAAAGTTACAGCTTCCAAGACAGACAGAAATAAAATTCTCTTTTCCAAAAAATGTACATAGACACATACACAGATTTTTTTTTTTCCTTACTGCCTACAGTGAATCCTCAGTAAAGTCAATATGTTGATTATTTTCAGCAGGGACATGCCAATCACATAATCAATACATTTACATATTTCCAGCTACAGTATGTAATTTCTCTGCTGTATTTTGCAGTTCTTTTACATTAGGCCCAGCTAGAAAATACAGGTCTGGTGGAAGTTTGGCTCTTTGTGATTTATATGTTAAATCCACAGTAAAGTCCTTAAATTCTTTTCAAAACAGTTTTCAAGTGATAGTGGAACCATTGGTCTGTGTTCATAGTTAAGAAATTACTGGTTTGAGATAGTGTCTCAACTTCTATCTATGTTAGTACCTCCTTTCAGGCTCCCCTTGAATAGCAGAGGTTTAGGCCAATTGATTACTCTGCCACTCTCTCAGGAGATAATTGTTTTCTCCATCTTGTCAGGGATTTTTAGCTGTTCAGTAGTGTAAAGTGCAAATGTGCAAGTACTTTTTTTCTTGATACAAATCCTTGAGCTTTCAGGTGACTTAGTATCTGCCCTCATCAGACATGGGAGTTATATGCACTGCCCAAAGTACTATAAATTCACAATACATTACAGGTGTAATTACAGGAGATGACTGAAGATACTTTGAGATGCAAAGTACTGTTGTGTTCCCCCGGGCTTTCTCAGGGCAGCGTGGGCACAGCATCTCACCAAAGGAGGCTTCTGGGGGTGCACAATTAAAAGCACAGCTAACCTTAATGGCTAAAGTGCATGGCTAACCTTAAAATTTAAGCCAATAGGAACGTTTGTGCATATAAAAGGATTTGGTAGGCTGGGTCTCTCAAATTATACCTATGATTTTGGAAGTATTATCAAAACTGAGGAACAATGTATCAACAAAATCTTGACGTATCATTTTTATTTTATTACTGTAATTTCTCACCTAGAATAAAGACTTCTACAGATCTTTCCATACTGAGATGAGAACTGATAGTTTTATCATTGGTCCAATTCATTGTAATGATTTGTAGGCATTTGTTATTTAATTTTGCATCCTTATTCAAATATTTTTGAAGTAGACAGATTAACACAATGTTTGAAATTGCTCACTGATCAAAAGGTATTACTGAGTATTTTGATTCTGACATGATAGCAAAAAAGTTAATCTTACTGACACCAAAATTTACTTGTTTATGTGTTTATTTATGTTCTGTCACTATTTCTTCCTCTGTTAATCCCAGTTTTTTTCATCTGCCTCTTTAGTAATCCATTGAATCACTTATCTGGCTTTCAGAAAGTTCCCTGTCTGGTTAAGTTGAGGTAGAAGCCTGAACCATTTACACTCTCCACACTACAGCAAATAAAGAAACTGTTTACAAATTATACTATGATGTGCAAAATCTCACTTGATTATACCTTAACTATTTTGTTTTTCCCTCCCTACCTCACAGATGATGGAAATGCTTAAAACAAGTTCAGGTAGTATGACACAGACTAACGTAAGTGTGAGCATGGCATCCAGGGGACAAGCTGTGACATGTTTGCGTGCTTCTGCCAAAACGCGTTGCATGGCTTTCTGCTGTTGTCTCGTGTTTCTGATTTAGGCAGCATGTTCAGCAACATGTAAGCGTTTCATTTGATATTTATATTCCAGCTCAGCTTTGGTTTTGTGTAGTCCTAATATTCTGCCTTTTTTGGTAGCTTGTGGCAGCTGCTAGTGGCAAATCTGCAAGCTGTGTATGTGATTCCTAAGTGACCTTCAGAGGTACCTGCTAGGGTCAGGACCCCCCTGGATATGGCTGTTGAGAAATCCTGGGTAGGGATGTGGAAGTGCACAGCTCAAAGGGGTCGGGAGCAGAGCCGACCCTCCCGTGCCTGCCGGTGGAAAGAGCCGCTCCCTCTGCCTTCCCTGGGAGCCAGGCCTGCTCCTGGTGCAGCTGGCTGGCCAGGACAGCTCTGCTACTGCCAGGGCTTTGTGGCTCTTCTGCTGTCAAACTCTTGCTTCATGTGGCAGATGACACATCGAAATACAAATGTTGTTTGCAGTCTCTGTTTAAAAATTCTGCTATGAGCAAATACAATGTTTTCCTGTGTTTATATAGTCCTTTTAATCTTAGTGTATGCAAAGCATATGAAGGTGAGATTAATCACAGCAGCTTGAAACTTACCCACATGGGTCTTGTGGTGCTGCCTAGTATGGAGAGGAAGAACTCGGGTATTCCCTTCCTGTGTTTCTTTTCTCACAGGATTTTCACTCGTATTTTAAGTGTGCTGGTGAGGGGTTTTTGTCATGAGGCTGGTCAAATATTGACCAGGTTGTCCAGAAAGGTAGTATCATCTCCATCCTTGGAGATGCTCAGAACTTGACTGGACAGGATCCTGAGCAACCTGCTCTGTTTGGACCTTCTTTGAGAAGGGAATTGGAATATGTGAAGTGTCTTTCTACTTAGAGTTGTCCATGATTCTACAGTTTCGTGACTGTACTGGTGGGGAGTAGAGTGAAACCACTAAAATAACTTTAAAGCCATCATTCAAAACCAGACCACCAAAGATCAGTGTTCTGGTGGCAGGTCCACTTTCCTGGAAAATAAAATGGAGTTTCTTGAATGTTGGTTATTACTCTCAGTATATCCAGTTCAACTGAGCAACTGAGCTTACACAGATAGATATTTGTTGTTTTCTTATTATGCAACAAAAAATAACTGTTGAATAGCGTGTGTTGCGTGAGATCAAGATGACTTATCAGAAACGCTTCTACTTTTGAATTATTGGAGCTATGCCAGCTGACACTGCCAGCTGTCTACATTATGTTTTTATAGCTCTTCTCAAGTTTCCTGTGTAAGATCCCTACCTCTGTTCCTAAGACATTAATGATTAGACTGTCAGAGCTGAGAAAATCCACCTACTGAGCAAGGTCACCTTCGCTGTTCTCAGTAACAAAGGAAAATGCCAGGCTAACAAGGCTCAGGAAGTCCTAATTAACGTCAATGGCAAACTCAAAGCCAGAGAAAAATAGGGCTGGCAAAACAATTCTCTCTAGAGCTAAGTTTTGTGGTTTTTTTTAACCATTGTAAAAGAAACCTGGAAGCTGTATTTTCAAATATGGTTAGTGCTGGGGATGGGTTGCAGAAAAGAAAGGGAATCAATAAGGGGTTTGTGATTTTCTGCCTCCTTCTCCTCAGTGAATTCCTGCCAGCACACAGAGCTCTGAAACCCAGCTGAGCCCCTGAGGCAGGAGCGCCATACATCTCTGTTCCCACCTGCCAAAAAGTCACCATGTTCCTTCTTCGGTTTGGATCCCAAAAAAAATGTGGGATGCTGGAGCCATGACATATACAGGGCTGGGCCACCCCACAACCTCCCACCTCTTCCCCTTGCTGCCAGAAGACCCGTCTTCCCTCATCTTACACTGCAAAAAAACCAATGGCCAATATCTACCCACAGTTTTTGGGTGAATGGGCATCCACAGACTGTATTTTATAGAAGACAACTCACAGATCTGTCTCTCCACTTAAGGATCCTGAATTTGTCTTTGAGTCTCAAAATACTCTACTAAGCATTCTTGCTCCCATTTTCTTCCCCTAAATTAGTCTTAATTCAAAATTCAGAGTCCCTGAATTGGGCTAATCCTCTTGATTGCCACCTTCCTCCTCTCAGTGCTCTGATCCTCATTGCAGGCTTGATGGAACCAGCTGTCTCTCAGATACCTTATCTGGCAGAGAGCTGCTAAATTCTGCAACATTCAGCCTATTCATTTGTATAATCTGGGATTTTCATGCTGATGTCCTTACTCAGCCATCTCTGGTTTCTGTGTAAGCCCAGTTCTGCCCAGAAGAAGCTTGGTTTCCCCACTGATTCCCTTCTATGCCTAGGATGTCTCCAACTCAGTTCTCTTATAAGTGTGAGGGAGCAGTCCATAAATGAGAGTGGTTTTGGTTTTCAGTGCCTATATGGGGTAATAGCACCTGTAACCATGTTTTACATTCCAGAAAGAAATATTCAAATCAGATATTATGAACAAAATTCCCACAGCCTTTTCAGCAGTGGGGAGAACAGAGGAAACATTTCCCTAAGGGTGTTGTGACTTTCCAGTGTTGGAAAGCCCTAGGAATATATCATTCAACATCATTAGAAGTGACACTGATGCAATTAGCCTAACTTGGGAAAAGAAGTGATCCACATGACCTCCTAAGGTTTCCTCCTGCATGTTTTTGTATGATGCTGTTATTTTAATGATGATAAAAGCCTCAGCTCAGTAGTGGTTCTAAATTGTGTGCACCAGGACACAAATTCAGTGGAAGGAGTGGACAGACCTGCCAGTTACACCATTCCAAGCAAATGACAGGAGTCGTTTTTCTAAAAACCTTCAGTGCAGTTTTGTTCCTCACATGAAGGTTAAACCCTCAGCAGATTACTCACAGAATGCCATAATTGGTCCAAATGGTCTCCTACAATTTCATTCACCCTTCAGCCACATACATTTTTGACCATGTCAGATTAGAAGACTGGTTTCTTGCCCTGGTGGCTTCTCTCTGAAGTCTCAGTTACTGTGACACCCTCTGTGCTTCCCAGGCAAGCACAGAGCTCCTCACACTGATGCTGGGTGGCCTTGAATATGTCCACACTGCTACTGCCTGCTGCTTCATTTGCCCCACAAGAGCATTAAGCAAAAGTCAATGCTCTCTGAAAGGGTCACTGCCTGGCTCTCTTGCCTCCTGTTGAGTTGCCTTTGTTTCCTGTTCAGATATTCCCTGCACCACAGAGCTAGGCATGCCTTCAGCAGGACATTTCTCCTCTTATGTCCTGATCCCTGTCTGTCCTTTGCTTCTAGACACTTCTGCAAGTCTCTGCAGGGTCTTCTGTCCTGACATTTCCATTTGACCCATCCTTCATTCAAGCTGCAGTTGTAGTGTCACCTCTGGGGCTCTGGGAGCCATCTGTAACAAAAAGGGTAATGCACCACTTCTTCCTCTGCCTCCACCTGCTGTGCTCAGCCATGTGCTGATCCTCTCCGGCATTGCCAACTTTGAACTCCAAGTCATATTATTCAGGGAGTAAACAAGGGTCACCGTGTTTATCACTGGAGTAGTGTGTAGGCACAGCTCTCCCTTCCCTGAGGCTGATGCTGCTCACAACCCAAAAGAATGGTGCCTTTTAACTTCAAGCAGAAGCACACTCACTCATTCACTGTTGAAAGTGTGGTTATAACTCAAGCAAGGAATGGAATCTTGGGCAGAATCCCTACCCCATCTAAGATATTAATATGGCTCCAAGGGATGTGGAGGAGCTTTATGCATATGGGGACTTGAGACAGAGCCCAGCAAAGCACATTGTTTCCTGGAAGTGCATAAGGAGCCCTAGCAAATTCAGCAGGATGATCCATGGACTGAGAGGTGTGCTCCTATCTAAGTGCTTTTCTGGCTAAGGGCCACAGACCAGCTTGCTCCTGAGAGCCCATGGGACAGCTGGGAAAGCAGAATCTGTCTGCTGGAATACCAATGCCTCTCTTACCCAAAGACTATCCTGATGTGTGAAATTGCAAGGCCTTTTTCAAAGACATCAAAAAGTTCAGCAGATCTCAAGCTTCCTTCCTTTAATAGAGCAGTTTTAATCCTTCATTAGGGCTGGCCAGCCTTTCTGTATCATGCATCCCCAAAATGCCAACATTTCCCTATGGCAAACACCCACCAGATAGACCATGAAGGTCTGAGCAGGACAAAGACCTTGGGGTTGTTCACAGACAAGAGCAGAGCCCCTCTCCCACAGTTGCTATGGAAGACAGCTTGGCTGGGCCTATGTAGCCCCAAATCCTGCCCTACCACAGGGATGGCTGAGCCTATGCAGCCCCAAATCCTGCCCTACCACAGGGATGGCTGAGCCTATGCAACCCCAAATCCTGCCCTACCACAGGGATGGCTGGGCCTATGCAACCCCAAATCCTGCCCTACCACAGGGATGGCTGGGCCTATGCAACCCCAAATCCTGCCCTACCATAGGGACTCCAGTGTCAGTTGGATGCTGTCAGTGCCATGGGGACCACAGTGTGTGGAAACCATAGATTAACTACTCATCCAATATAGCCAAAGGATCTGAAATTAAGCAGTATTAAGGGCTGGATTTGCTGTGTGTTGTAGGCTTCTTTCATAGTGGCAGCATGTGACATCCCTTCTCTGCATCCAGACCACACAAAGAATACAACAGGCAGAAACCCAGACAGAGCAGTAGCCTCTCACAGCCTGGCAATACATTAAACTGGCAAGTTATTATACATGAGTTGAGCTAGAGCAGGCTGATGCTCCTGCACACACTGCCTTACCTGTCTTCCTGATGCACAGCTATTTTGGATTTTCCAGTCATTCAACATACTTTTCTGTAAGAACATTTTCTTATTTCTTAAGATACACTCCCCTTTTGTAGTCCTATTGACAATCATGCTAGTGACATGAGACTTCAAGCATTCATCTGCTCAATCACAGCATTTTCAGCAGTAAATGATCCT